AAAGGGGACATATGTGATACTTTCAACAATCAAGATTTATTTTTAAAAATAAAGTAGGCCTTATTTATAAATGAGCAGTTTATAAGGGGAAATCCTTTAAAAATCAAATTTCAAAAAAAATTTTTGTAATAAAAGTAAGACCTTTACTAGAATAAGCAAGTCTGTAGAGATGGAAAGCAGATTAGTGGTTGCCTAGGGCTGAAGAAGTAAGAAGTAGCTGCTACATGGTTTGTTTTTAGGGTGATGAAAATGATCTAAGTTTAATTGTGGTGATAGTTACAAAACTCTGAATACGCTGTAACCATTGAATTATACTCTTTAAAGTTATTAAGAAAAAAGTACATTTAGTAAATTTGGAAAATACTGGAAGGTACAAGAAAATAGAGACCATTCACAGCCCCACTATTGGAGAGAACCTACTGTTGACGTTTGTTTTTAGGGTGATGAAAATGATCTAAGTTTAATTGTGGTGATAGTTACAAAACTCTGAATACGCTGTAACCATTGAATTATACTCTTTAAAGTTATTAAGAAAAAAGTACATTTAGTAAATTTGGAAAATACTGGAAGGTACAAGAAAATAGAGACCATTCACAACCCCACTATTGAAGAGAACCTACTGTTGACAATTTTAATATTAAAAGGCCACATTCTGCACAATTTCTTTAACATATTAATGAAATATCCTCGATTTAACAGCTTTTCAGAAAAGAAAGGCTACCGCATCCTACTTCAGAAATATTAAATATGTTTTTAAAATGCATCTCCCCCAACTCACAAGTTATTTACTTTGATCATTTTAATGTGCTAACCCGTTTTCACTTTTTACTACCTGTCATATCATAAGACATAACAGTAACATTCAAATTCATATCATGATACCTGAAATCTGAGACCTACCAATGTGAGTATCCATGGGTAAGAGAGTCACTGAAAAGGTGCCGCTGGGCTTGTGTCTCCCCTAGAATTTACCAAAGATTTCGGATAGGAATAAAAATTCTAAAAACTCCAATCTTGTTCTAGTGTGGAGCCTGTTTGCCATTTGACAGAAAAAGGAAGACCTCTTCCACCCTACACTTTATAGAGCCTGAAATTAAAAATCGGAGTCAAAGCAGAAATACCCTCAAAAGGAATTGTGCAGAATGTGGCCTTTTAATATTAAAATTGTCAAGTTTCATATATTTACTATATATATATATACTTTTTTTCTTTTCTTTTTTCTTTTTTAAAGGCTGAGGAACCTGTTCTTTTTTTAACAAAAATATATTTTATTGATTTTTTACAGAGAGGAAGGGAGAGGGATAGAGAGTCAGAAACATCGATGAGAGAGAAACATTGACCAGCTGCCTCCTGCACACCCCCTACCGGGGATGTGCCCACAACCAAGGTACATGCCCTTGACTGGAATCGAACCCGGGACCCTTGAGTCCGCAGGCTGACGCTCTATCCACTGAGCAAAACCGGCCAGGGCTATTTTTTCTTTTTCTAATCAATGAAATGTTAGAGCAGGTAGTACTATACTTACAAGAAATAAGGGTATGCTTATATTGGTTTTCTTTCTTACCATGCCTAAGGAACACTAAATCAGAGATGGTTGCCCTGGCAGGTTTCGCTCAGTGATTAGAGTTGGCCCCCAGACTGAAAGGTTGCGGGTTTGATTCCAAGTCAAGGGCACATACTTCGGTTGCAGATTTGATCCTGGGCCTCGGTTAGGGTGTGAGAGGGAATTTCTTTAACATATTAATGAAATATCCTCGATTTAACAGCTTTTCAGAAAAGAAAGGCTACCGCATCCTACTTCAGAAATATTAAATATGTTTTTAAAATGCATCTCCCCCAACTCACAAGTTATTTACTTTGATCATTTTAATGTGCTAACCCGTTTTCACTTTTTACTACCTGTCATATCATAAGACATAACAGTAACATTCAAATTCATATCATGATACCTGAAATCTGAGACCTACCACTCTCTCTCTCTCTCCCTCCCTTCCACTCGCTCTAAAGATCAATAAAAAAATATCCTCAGGTGAGGATAAATTTGTTGAGTCTATTGTTTTACAGCTGAAGAAATACGACATGTTGACAAATGATTTGTAATAGTTACGGCCACCTACATCATGATTATATTTAGCATATTACCTTTTTAAGACAACTACCCACTATTTTAAAGAAAAATATGCCCTCACTATAACAAGAGTTGAATCAATCAGAGACTAGCCATTCACAAAAACACTAGCCATTTTAACAATATTATCCCAATGGTCTGTTAACCAACACTATCCAAGATAGACATATACACTTGGAAGGTCAGTCAAAGGAAGTCCCACACCAAGCTATTCATCAACAAATCCTGCTGTTCTGTGGAGGGCTTTCTTTTAGGAGAAGTAGAAGTAAACTGCTCAACTAAACAGCAACAAAGATGCAATTTCACTCTAAAGATAATTATTTTTCCACGTCAATGAAGAAAACCATCGAAAGAAAAGAAAGACCCAGGCCAGCGCCTGCGGCTCCTGCGCACCTAACGGGAAGAAGCGAGGTGTGCCCGCATACATTTTGCCAAGGAGGACAATCTTCAGACTCAGGGCGTGCATTCGATCGGAAGAGCTCAGTGCCACACTTTCATTCAGTTCTGAAAGACAGAGACATGTCCTTAGAAACCCAGATGACTTCTAATGTGAAGTGTTCAAACTGGCTATTTCATTGTTTCAAGGAATAAAAACCCCCAGAACTGACATTCACGTAATATAATGAGCAGATCCTGTATTCTGTCAGTTTCTGATATACTCTCGTCTTCCCAGGGCAGTGGCGAGGAGATTCTGAGAGAAGTGTCCCAGTCTCACTTACTAAGCAGCACAAACCTGAAATGACACTCTCTGAGAGTCCTCCCCAATGTTTACTGGGATCATTCTCTAGAGCAGCGGTTCTCAACCTGTGGGTCGCGACCCCTTTGGGGGTCGAACGACCCTTTCACAGGGGTCGCCTAAGACCATCGGAAAAACACATATATAATTACATATTGTTTTTGTGATTAATCACTATGCTTTAATTATGTTCAATTTGTAACAATGAAATTGGGGGTCACCACAACATGAGGAACTGTATTAAAGGGTCGCGGCATTAGGAAGGTTGAGAACCACTGCTCTAGAGGACCACCCTCCCCCATGTCCAGGTTCCCTCCATGCTCGCTCTGTTTAGCACATACAAGCTGCCTGAGCCCTGCCCACCTGAGCCACTAGCAGCCTGTGTCTCTCTACCAAGTCACTAAGTAATGTATGCTACATGCACCTATAAGTGCACACTTACCTTTCTCTATGATATCTTGCCAAAGTGTCTGCACCAATATAGGGTCTGAATAACCGGCACAATGAATTATTGCAAGTTTACACTCTGCAAGTTTAAACGGGTCAGCAAATTCCCCATAAAGCTGTAGGAGAAAATGTCAACGTTATACATCCAATCAGAGGTCAGGGTCCAGAAATTAATAGTGAAAAACTACTTGAAAGTTCAAAACAACGAAAGATTTTATCTGAAGTTCCTAAAATATGAAATAAAAATATGATGATGTATAGCTGGTCATAGCTATGGGTTAAAAGTGATGAATGAATGGCAAGTAAATCCAAATAGATTCAGCACGTGTGCATTTTTTTCTTGGCTGGAAGAGGTCATAATGACTTTTTAAAATTAATATATTTCTTTTTTTTAATGTATTTTATTGATTTTATGCCCCCTACTGGGGATCAAGCCCACAACCCGGGCATGTGTCATTGGCCGGAATCGAACCCGGAACCCTTCAGTCCACAGGCCGACGCTCTATCCACTGAGCCAAACCGGCCAGGGCAACTTTTCTTTTAGAATTAGTGTTGTCTAAAACAAGGTTTGCAGAAACACTGGCAAATCTCAGGGTGCTTAAGCCAAGTCCAAGAGTAAATGAGGAAAGAACCGCTAGAAGACACAGAGAGGCTTGGGGAGATAAACAAAGATGCTTCTTGTTCAAGACAAGAAGCGAGGCAATAACAGACCAGGCTCGAGTTTTACCCAAGCCCCTCGACGCTGACAGATTATTTACAGTTACTGGCCTGGGAAAGGAACTCGGCTCTTTCTCCAAGTCAAACACCACAGCAGTGATCTGCCCAGGGACATGCTGCCGAGGAGGGCTTATCTTACTCTGTGGAGGTAGGTTCCCCTTCCCCATGGGACAAAAGATACAACGCAGAAGAAACAAGGAAGGTGTAGGTGTTAGGTGACTGCTGCTTGACTGCTACAGGAATTTCGCTGGCTTGTTCATTACCTTAGTTATGTCCATTAACTCAGAATCCAGCTGAGAAATTGCATCCTGTACAGAAGAATGATGGGAGTACTGCCTTTGTAGCGTGTCTTGTATCTGGAGTTGGATCCTAGCAACCTAGTTCGGTTCGAAAAAAGGAAGTATTGATTTCATTATGAAAAATCAACAGGAACTCAAAGAAATGACTCCTAGTATCTGACTTCATTAACGTGATAACGTTAATGTATTAATGAAGACTTCTACCATAACAGACTAGCAGCTCTACTAAAATCTTCAACATGAAAGATTTCACAGTCTTTACTGCCCACCCACACTGCTCTCCCAGAACTGTAGCCAGACCTCCCAGCCTCCTTGCAGGGAGGTCTGAACATGAGCCTCAGTTCCCTGCAAAGGACGCCAGTGAAAGTGAAGCATGTCATGTCAGAGCCGAGGTTTTTAAGAGAGTGAATGTGCTTCTTGCATGCTTTCTTCCTTTCCTCCCTCTGACTGAAGAAAAGGTAAAGCCGCAGGTAATAGTAGAGAATAGAACTTGGATCCCAAAATCAACCAGGAAGAAAGCCACCTACCTGTCAACCAGAAAAACCCACTCTGGATTTTTGTGACTGAGAAATAAGCGTTTGTATTGGGACCATGATACACTTGGGGTCTCTTAGTTAAGGCCGTTTAGCCTACTCTACTCCATGTACCTACTTTTTAGCTTCCAGAATAAATGGCGAATGTGATATAATCTGCTTCATGTTGGAATCATTGGGAAAAAAACCTTTAGAAGTGCCACAGAGAAAAGTTTTAAACTATAGCAATATCCTATGACCCAAATGCTGTGTCATTAAAATCTTTTACAACACCTTGGTATGAAAATAAATGAAAAATAAAGGCAGAAGAAACTACAATTAATAATACTGACTGCTACAGACCTATCGCCAGCTAGGGGAAGAAGGAGTGAGTAACATGTGACTATGCTGTTCAGTGTGGACAAAGCTGAAGCGTCTTCCTCACTTGCCTCCATTTTTTCTTCCATTTCATGAAGGAACTCCCCATCCGCAGCTGTGGAGGAGATGGCAGTGGAGCTTTTGGCACTAAGAATGGCTCGGGCAATGTACTCTAGTCGCTGCTGGAATGAAATTTCTGTGCTGGGGGAAAAACACTGATATTTACTTATGTGAATTCTTAAGGTCTCAAAATACAAACACATTAGTCTGATGTACTATTTTAGACCACATGGACATAAAACGCAATCTGAAACTTGAAAAAAATTATTAGAGGATTTCTAATAAGAGAGCTCTACAACTGAAGGCAACAAATAAATATTTATGCTTGTATCTGAAGAAGTAACTTCCTATTTTAAAACTTCAGGATAGTAAAACCTGAATTCTTCTAGAATTAAATTAAGAATATCCCTTATGCCCTGGCCAGGTGGGTAAGGTGGTTGGAGCATCGTCCTATACACCAAAAGGTGGCGGGTTCAATTCCCAGTCGGGGCCATACCCAGGCTGCAGGCTGGATCCCAGGTTGGGGCACGTACAGGAGGGAACCAATCACTGTTTCTCTCTAAAATCAATAAACATATCCTGGGGTGAGGATTAAAAAAATAAATATATATATATATATATCTCCTTTTTTGCTCCTCATAGTCTTCACTTCTTTGCCTTAACAGGGCCAAGACTACATTTAATCTTCTATAGAGCTAGAGTGACCACTTAAAAACAAAGAACAGACGTCACGTGCTTTTTTAAACCCTCCAAAAGCCTTCTCTGACTCTTCCAACCTCATCTCCTTCCACTTGCTCCCTTGTCTTTTCTATATCCCCTCCTTGAATTTTAATATTTTCCCTGTTAAAACAGTGATTAATTTTTTGTTACAAAATATTCAGAAATTCTCTAATTATACATTTACTTCACACACATACACACAATTTTATTACATTGTCTTTTGATATAATAATTTAATTAGAAACCCCAATGCTTTCTTAATAGGATTTTAAATATATGTATTTTTATTGATTTTAGCGAATAACAGGGAGAGGGAGAGAAACACCAATGATGAGAGAGAATCACTGATTGGCATCGACTGCCTCCTGCCTGCCCCCTGCTCAGGACTGAGCCAGTAACCCAGGCCTGTGCCCTGACCAGGAACAGAATCATGACCTCCTGGTTCATGGATCGACGCTCAACCACACAGCCGGGCAACAGTATCCCAAGCCCTTTTCAGTAACTTAACTCAATGTCAGAGTACAGAAAATTAGTCTGGAAGTGGTAAAACATTTAACCACTTTAAGAAGTAGTTTTTGTCCTTTTAATTAAGAATAATAATAATTAACTCATTGGTAGGAAGAATCCAAAGACATACTTTAGAGAATTTAGAAGACAGTTCAACAGAAAAGGTCTTAGGTAAAGAGAAAACTTTAGATAAATTCAAATAAAGCATACAAATTCTATAGATGTATAACCTGAATGAAGTTTTCTTTAAACTGTGAAATCTAAATGTAACTAGACAGAGCTGGGTTACAACCATGCTTCACAGTGAGGCTACTGCCATACCTGTGCATGTCAGCCAGCTTGGACAGGACACGCGCAGCATTGCTGAAACTCCTGTTCTTCTCGTAGTACCTCCAGAGCAAATCCATGTAACGGACTTTGTTTTGATCAACTTTGGCCATCCGGGAGAGATGTGGCTCCAGAAATGGGGACGTGAACTGGAAATTGTACAGTAACCCAGAGACATTTTCTCATCACCCACTTGCTCTTTACGTAGTAAATATAACATTTAAAGATAACGACAGGTGTTCCTTATTTTATGAATACATAAGCAAAATTATAATCCAACAACAGATAAAAGAGAGGGTGAATTTTTCGCATTATACATGATTTTTGTTTTATCACAGTTCATGAAAGAGTTGTTATGATAGTTACTTAGGCTGATAAAAAGAATTTACTATAATCCAATTATAAATCTTTTTTAAAATATATTTTTATTGATTTCAGAGAGGGAGAGGGAGAGAGAGATAGAAACATCAATGATGAGAGAGAATCATTGATCGGCTGCCTCCTGTACGCCCCCTATTGGGGATGGAGCCGCAACCAGGCATGTGCCCTTGACCAGAATCGAACCCGGGACCCTTCAGTCCGCAGATCAGTGCTCTATCCACTGAGCCAAACCAGCAGTGGCCAATTATAAGTCCCCTAATAATCCCTGAGAACACAGCTACTGAGTTCAGATTCTGAGCTAAAAGGCATCCTTGAAATGATCAAATGCCACGTGTTCATTTTACAGAATGAGAAGCACAGACTTAGGGTGTGATGTCATAGCGACTTAACGGTAGAGCTAAAAGAAAGGTTATGTCTCCTAATTCCCAATCCAGTGATTTCCATCCCACAAGAAAATCGGAGCTATGGTCTACTTTACCCACTGGGAAATTAATAATATTGGAATAAAAAACCATTTTTTACCTGTAGCAGCTTATCTGTAAGGTCAGCTTGGATTAGCCAATTATAAAGGGCAATACTAAAGAGCTCATCTTTGGATCGTTGACACAATTTAAGCATTTGTTCAAACTAAAAGAAAGAAAGAAAAAATTAGCACGATCAAGGCTCTGGACACCATGAACCCTGAGCTTAACCCCTGGTAAGAAATCAAGAATCCTTCCATGTTCTAAGAGTTACTACCTTTCCCAAGATGGTTAGGCTAGTATTACCACACAGGAGTGCTAAACACACGTGTTTTTAGAATGAAAATGTGCTGTGTCCCTTACGTGGTGTCCAGCTTCTTCGTTGCTCAGCATATTGGGGTCAGAGGACAGCACCGGCGGCCCGGGCTTTTTGGGCACGCTGGGAGACTGGGGAGCAGCCTTGCTCTGATTCACCAGCTCCTGCAGGGTATCGGTAATGCACTTGTAGCTGTTTAATCTGAAAAAGGAGCAATTCCATTAATTACACAGTAACTGATTTGTCTTCTTTAATTTTAAGTACACACAAGGATTGAAAGACTATTTTGGAGAATAAATATATGTATTTATTTGAAATTAAAATTAATAGAAATCATATACTTTTTCTTTTTTCTTTTTTTAAACATATTTTTATTCATTACAGAGAGGGAAGGAGAGGCAGAGAGAGACAGAAACATCAATGATGACAGAGAATCACTGATTGGCTGCCTCCTGCATGCTCCCCACTGGGCCCACAACCTGGGCATGTGCCCTTGACCAGAATCAAACCCAGGATCCTTCAGTCCACAGGCCGATGCTCTATCCACTGAGCCAAACCGGCTAGGGCTCATATACTTTTTCAATAGGTTTGAGAAGCACTTGGTTAAACATAAAAGGGTAAAATCATAAAAATGAATGTATTAACAAAAACCATTTTCTTAGACAGAATATGTATTTCCTTTATGGACATACACATTTTTCTTTTAACAGTCTCTACTAATTTGTGAGCATTTAAAAATCATCTTTTACAAAATCAAATACTTCACTCAGAATCAGAAATGGGGTTGGGGAAGAAGCCAGTTTTGTTCCCAAGCAAGTTATCTCATTTAAAATGGACATTAATAGAGTCTCAGAAAAACCACAGAATAAAACATTTATAAATTCCTAGGAATTTTTACTGGACTAAAATTTTATCCCTAGACAAGGAATTATACTCCTGATTCAGACCTCTGATAAAAGAAGTTATTTTAAAGTGAAAGCATAATACACAAATAAATAAATGAGTGAATAAAGTGAAGTATAGTTGAGTTTTATAAGGGTTGCAGTTGGAATACTGTTTCCCCAATACTATCAGGTGCTAAGACGCACCTTTCTTGGAAAGCCTGGAGCCCCAGGAGGTCCTCCTCTGGCTCTCCGTGCTTGTAGAAGTGCAGCCCGAGGCCCTGCGGGTCCTTCTTCTCGGCGGCAGTGAGAGAGAGCTCCACCACACCCTCATAGAAGCGCACTGACGGGAGAAACGGACAAGACGGGGCACGTTAGGCTGGACACGCTTTGTTCTCAGCTCCCTTATAAAAATACTGACCAAGATCATTTTGTTTCTATTATACATTAGTCACCCTCGTGACAATATCACATAAAATATTTCTGAAGAGTCTGTCAAAGAATAAGGCTGTAGCATTCCTAAAAGGCAGCTATAAGTATATTTTCTTCACTGGAAAAAAATCTTTGTATTTAAAAGATCCAACCAGAGAGTTTCAGTTTCTTGTTGAAAAAAATCCTGGGATTCAAAACAATACCCCTGGCTAAGAGTTACTACTTTTATGTTAGACTTACTTTTTAAGTAAATTTTAAAGAGAGTAGGAAGGTAATATTTTAAGAATTAATCAAAACTTTTAAGCATCTTAAAATTAAACGTAACCCGGAAAGCAACCTTATACAGATAGTAGTGTAACTGGACAGGGACTGAAACACCGATGGTAAAAAGTTACATATCTGAAGATATAAAAGAAACTATAGCTTTTTCAGGGGCCAGTGCAGCCACCACAAACTGCGACACAAGGAACGAACTTCCTGCCATCCTTGGGCCTACGAGCTGAAGGAAGACATGACCTGTCCCCAGGTAAGGTGGGAAGAGCAGTGCGTTTCTCACCTTGTCTGTACTGAGCACAGACATTAGGAAGGTCCACTTGATTGCTGATTTTCTGATACTCCTTTAGTGATTCCCTTAACATTCTTTCCTTTTCAATCTTATTTTGAACTTGTCGGGAATGTTGGAGAAGCTCATTTGCCTGAAGGAGAAATGACAAGAACTTAAAAAGATATAACATCAAGCATATAGATGATGCTGTCAACATAAGTTTTAGTCTATGTCCAAATTTACATCTGGTTTATTATAATCAATAATAAAAACAACTCTATAAACTTACTTCTTCTTAATTTTAGGCAGAAAAGTTTTTGACCAAAAAAATCCTAGCTATTCTTAATTCCTCTGACAAATATGTTAAGCAAGATAGCTTTTTTTTCTGGTAAATCTCTTGTCTAGTCAATACATTATTTGGTCAGCAGGCAGTCCACACGGTACTGATTTTTTAAATTACTTCCACCTGTAGGAAAGGATCAATAAAAATTGCCCAATTAACTCTGATTCATTACAGACTAACTTTAGGTTTTAGAGAATTTCCTTAATTTCTAAGGAGGGGCATATGTAACCATCGTTTTTTAAAATATGGCCTAGAAATGCCATCAAAGATTCTTTATGAAAAACTTAAATATAATGGACTTTAAGAAACCAGGTATTCCAACCCCTTTCTTACACAGATGAGGATTCTGAGGCCAGGAGAGGTTCAGAAACCTATCAAAGGTATGAATTAGGCAAAAGAAGGTGGTTCCTGATTCCAATTCTAGCGTGCTGTTCATCACACCGGGGAGCCTCTTCTGTAGGAAGCACTGAAACAGGTACCCAGGCCTCCCACCTTAGAACAGACTGCGTCGTCGGTGCTGTACAGAAGGGGGCAGATGTCCTGCAGGTGTGAGCTGATGCCGTCCACGGCAGCGTTGTCTCTGATGTAGCAGTTGATCAGAGAAGCAATTAATGCCCCGGTCAGCTCTTTGTCCCGGATGACAAGATCTTTAAAGGTGGTGATTTTCAACTGCTCCTGAAATTCCTAGGGGCATAAAAAGAATCCTTTCTTCTATCCACTACACAGGAATATCATATTTCCTCACAGAATCAAATTTCTTTAATAATTTAACCAAAACATTAACAGACTTCATAATTCAAAAGAGACAATACACAAAAACTACACAAATGAACACATTTTTGAAATTATCATAGAACCATAGAGAATTGAGAAAGAGCCCACAGTCCGAAACGCTCACTTCACCAACGAGGAAAGTAAACCCGGCAGGGGCAGGGGCAGGGGCAGGGGCAGAGGCAGAGGCAGCGCCAGAGGCAGAGGCAGAGGCAGAGCCAGGTCTGCTGACTTCAGTCATGACCAGGAAAAATGGTCAATGAGCTACATCAAAAAACTTGGGCTTACGTCTTTTTCCTAAACAAGTTAGCATTCTATTATTCAAGGCTTTCTAGTGTTGGAGTTTAATCTCATTTTCTACAAATCTGCTTGTTAAAAATGAGTTCCAAATTGTTGAGGTAATTTTTACTACAATAAATTATTGTTTAGTGATTTGCCTCTCACACGTGCCGGACAGGAATTAAACCCCAAACCCCAGACCTTCGGGATGACACTCCAACCAGCAGAGCCACCTGGCCAGGGCTGATACTTCTTTTTACCTCCCAACAGAACTTATTCTACCTGGTATGGAAAAGTTTTCATAATTATCATAAGGGTGTTTTTTTTTTTAAAGTATGTATTTAAAAGAAATAAAAGCACCAAACAAAACAACACTTTGGACTTTATTGAAAAGAACTAGGGGAATGACTTTGAAGCATAAGAGAAAATTATTTTGATATAAAATATGTCAGATATTGCCTGGCTGGTGTGGCTCAGTGGTTGAGCATCAACCTATGAACCAGGAGGTCATGGTTCAATTCCTGGTCAGGGCACATGCCCGGTTGCGGGCTTGATCCCCAGGGTAGGGCTTGCAGGAGGCAGCCAATCAACGGTTGGTTCTCTCTCATCATTGATGCTTCCATCTCTCTCTCCCTCTCCCTTCTTCTCTGAAATAAAAAAAAATATAAAAACAAACAAAAAAACAGAGGTTCTGACAAAGTGAATCCCTCAATCTTTAGTGCAATCTTCCTATGACATACTAACTTCATCATAACCTAAATGCTTCTGACATGATCCCCACCAAACCCAAGTGTAAGATTAAAGCTCACTCCAAAGAAAAGAAACCGAGCAGAGGATTAACGGTATGGTCTTGCAGGAACAAAAACACCCTACCTTCTGCAGTTCACCTACAATGACCGTGAACTGATGTTCACAAAGAAGTTTCCACAAAGCCAGAGCTTGGTATGATTTTCGGACCAATTGCTGGATCGCCTGAAGTGAAATCTTTTCACTCACTTGAGCCTCTAATTACAAATACAATTAATAAAGTTTTTTCAAACGACATAGGTTGTTTTATTTCAAGTACAACAACACTTTACCTCAAATAGAAACAACTATTAAGGTGAAATCCTCATTGTTCTTCTCTCTCCCCCATCATAGGCAACCATGAGCACAAGTTGATTTCATGTTCTTATCCTCTATTATATACATGTGCATTTGTGTGTGTACACATAAACAATAACAGCATTGCTGTTTTTAAATAATTTATTTACACCATAGCTTTTTCCATCAGTTCTATTTTTGCAAGCTAGCCATAGCAATAAATATAAATATAAATCTAGCATGTTTATTTTAATTGCTGAGTGTTCTATCGTGTAAAGAGGCTACAATTAGGTCCATTGTTCACCTAACATATATTTGTATTTTTTCCAGTTTTCTTAGTAAAACTATAGCAATAAATACCCTTAGAAAAGGTCTCCGGGAAAGTGCAGTGAGGTTTTGGTAGGAATGAGTTTCTTAGACCTGGACTAGGAAGCATTGATGAGTCATAAAATCAATTCAGTTAGTCAATATAGGTTTTAATTTTTTCTTAAAGAGGAAATGTAATAAAAAGGGAAAAATTTAGAGTGTGAAACAGGTAGAGTTTTTTCCTAAAATTTGTTTCAGTTGCGTGTGTTTCCTTTTAACCACCTGGGTCATAATGTAAAATGTATTTTTTACTGTGAGAAAAAAGTCTGGTAGACTGTTCCAGGATGTACACCTAGAAGGCAAACGGCTGGCTGTGAGTGCATAGGCTTTCTCAGCTTTTACTAGGTATGACCAAATGCTCTACGAAGTGGTCATTTCCGTGATTATCACCAGCAATCTGAATGTTCCTGTTTGTGTAAATCCTTAGTAGAATGCGTGCACTGTCAGGCTGAAGGCCTTATTCAAGTACTGAAAAAAGAACTGACATGCCCTGACCGGTTTGGCTCAGTGGATGGAGCATCAGCCTGCGGACTCAAGGGTCCCAGGTTCGATTACAGTCAAGGGCATGTACCTTGGTTGCGGGCACATCCCCAGTGGGGAGTGTGCGGGAGGCAGCTGATCGATGTTTCTCTCTCATCGATGTTTCTAACTCTCTATCCCTCTCCCTTCCTCTCTGTGAAAAATCAATAAGAAATATATTTAAAAAAAAAAAGAACTGACAAAATAGTGAACAGAAAACAAGGGCCAGCACGAAGGAAAGAAAGTACCTCGGGGTGTAATGGCTAGGTCTTCAATGAGCAAATATAATAATTGGCTCAAAAAATAGAAGACAAGATAATAAAAAAATTAAATCTCAGGCAAAATTTAAGCAATAATTTATTATTTCTCCAATTCATATCTGGAATAATTGATGATAATGCAAACTTTTTAACTGCCTTACTCTTTCTTTAGTTATTACTATTAAAAAGATAAAAACACAACCAAAAACCTGATTCACTTTTTAAAAAAATCCTTACCCGAGGACATGCTTATTGATTTTAGAGAGAGGGGAGGGAGGAAGAGAGACAATGAGAAAGACATCAATGTGAAAACAGCTATAGGTTGCCTTCCCATACACAGCGACCGGGAATGAACCTGCAACCGAGGTATGTGCCCTGACCAGAAAAATCGGACCTGAAACCTTTCAGTGTAGGGACAACACTCCGACCAACAGAGTCACGGGGGCCAGGGCTTGATTCCCATTTTTAACTCTATAAAGAAGTGTCACTAATCAAATCAAACCACAGTGATACCAGTTCACACCCATAAGGATGGATATTATTTTAAAAACTGAAAAATAACTGGTGCAATGAAGAGAAACTGGAACCCTTGGTGCACTGCTGGTGGAAATGTAAAATGGTGCCATTGCTATAGAGAACAATCAATATGTCAGTGCCTCAGAAAAATAAACATAGAATTACCTTATCACCCAGCAATTCCACATCTGGGTATTTAACAAAAGAATTGAAAGCAGGGACTCGACCTTACGTTTGTATACCATGTTCACAGCAGGACTGTTCACAGTACTCAAAAGGTTAAACCAATCCTAGTATCCACCAGGATGGATGGATAAACAAAAGTGGTATATATACATTGGAATATTATTGTTTTAAATAAAAAAGGGAATTCTGACATGCGAAACAACATGAATAAACTTTGAAGACATTATGCTAAATGAAATAAGCCAATCACAAAAGGATAAATACTGTATCATTCCACTTGCAGGAGGGACCCAGAGTAGTAAGATTCAAGGGACAGAAAAAAAAAAAAAAGGATTGATCGTCAGGGGCTGAGGGCCCTGTAAAGTGGGGAGTTACTGCTTCATGGGGTTCAGTTTCAGATTGGGAAGATGAAAAAAGTACTACAAATGGACAGTGGTGATGTTTGCACAATATGAATGTATTAATAGCCACAATTATACACATAATAGTAGTTAAAATGGTAAATTTATATATTTTACAATTAAAAAACTCATTTAAAAAAAAGGTGTGTATCATGTTTTCTGGAGGATGGGAAAAAATGTATGGGCTGAAAATTATGAAAATACATGACATCCATACTGTCCACTTTCCCCAATCACACTGATATTTTAATAAAAAATATGTTACCACACACAAGATCTTTATTTTCTATTCAACTGACAAAACTCTTTACTAGGGTTGTGTACATTTCAGTGAGCAGAAGCAATAACTTACCATGAAACTTCCTCTGCAGCTCCTGCTGCATCTGCTGGGTGTTCCCATTCTCAGGACGCATGAATCCGATCAGCCTCTGTGGCACTTTGGCTGCAGTACTGAAACAGAAACTCCAGAATGTGCATTTGTGTTTCTCACAGCATTATCGAGATGTAATTTACATACCACATAATTCAGCAAGTTAAAGCGTACAATTCACAGGATTGCCCAATTATCACCACAATCTAATTAGAACACCCCTGATTAACCATCAATCCCCATTTCCCCCTTTTCCCACCTCTACCCTGAGCAACCATTCGTCTTACCTGCTGTGTCTATAAACTTGCCTTTTCTGAATATTTCATATAAGTGAACTAGAAAATGTAAATACTTTTCCTCTGTAGATTAGTGACAGAGCACTGGCAAATCAATGATATTTTAAATTGGAAGTGTGTGGTTTTTAAAAAAATATATTTTTTAATTGATTTCAGAGAGGGAGGGAGAGGAAGACAGAAACATCAATGATGAGAAAGAATCATTGACCGGCTGCCTCCTGCATGCCCCCGGCTGGGGATTAAGCCTGCAACCCGGGCATGTGCCTTGCCTGGGAATAGAACCGTGACCTCCTGGATCATAGGTCGATGCTCAACCACTGAACCACACAGGCTGGGCAACAATTTTGTTTTATTAAAAAATAAAAATTAAACAATATACAGTGAAGAGCCCTTGCTATAGTCTCCAATACCTTTCTCTGGTACAAGAAACCAGGGCTCCCTGCAGAAATGGCTGACTTCAGGTCTAGGGCAGGAATTTTACCAAATGAGACTGGAGGCTCTTTTCCTACTAGAAAGCAAAGAAGCTGCCAAAGACTATTGTCAGAATGATTCAAGAGCAACCCGAAGAGGCAAAATACGGAACAGTTTTGCATGAAACACCTACAACAGACTGAAATAATAAAACTGTAAGTTGTTAATGTTACTAAATAAAAACCTCAACTGACAGCAGGGGCCAAGATGGAGCAAGCCTGCTGCTGCCTCGCTCACTGACAGTACCCGGAAACCTTGGACAATATAAGGAGCAACTACTACCTGAGGCAGATCCATAGAGACAGCCAGATTAGTGGCTGCCAGGGACTAGGGGGAGGGGAAGGGAGGCGTGATATGGACTAGATGTTGGAGTCCCACCAAATTCCTAAGCTGAAGCCCTAATCCCAAAAGTAATTGTGTTGGGAGGTGGGGCCTTGGGAGCTAATGAGGTTTAGATGAGACCATGAAAATGGAGCCCCATGATGAGATTGGTACCCCCATAAGAAGGTACCAGAGAGTTGCTCCCATTTTCTCTCTGCCATGTAAGGACACAGCAAGAAGGCAGCTGCCTGTAAACCAGGAAGTGGGTCCTCACCAGAACCTGAACATGCTGGCACCCTGATCTCAGACTTCCAGCCCAAGAACTGTGAAAAACAAATGTCACCTGCATAAGCCAGCCCATTGGATTTTTGTTACTCCAGCCTGAACTAAGACAGGGAGTGTCTACTAATGGGTATAGGGTTTCTTTCTGGCATGATGAAAATATTCTAGAATCTTAGATAGTGGTGGATGATGATTGCATACCCTTGTGACTACACTAAAAACCAATGACCTGTATATTATAGAAGGATGAATTTATAATATGTGAATCATACCTCAGGAGAAAAAAAGAAAAGGAAAAAAAGAATAAATAAATCCCTTTTATTCTTACTTTGGATTTCCTAGTGGTCCCCCCGCAAACTGGGAGTTTCTGTCTAGAAATTCTTGCAAGCCTTTTAGTTCCAGCAGCACCGACTCCAGCATTTGGGAGGGAACACTACTTTCAATCTGTAAGAAAGAATTTTCAAGTTTAAAACAGTGAAAAGGCATATACTAGTATATGAAAAACATACACTGTATATCTATAACCAAATGTAAACTTTAATTTTGAAGTACCCTAACTTCATAAGCAGTAAAATTATTTCTTATATCAATTCACTGTTGGTGACCAGAATCAAGGGCTAGGTACCACATCCCTCCCCTCCTACTCTGGTTTGATTGAGATATAATTTACAGACAGTAAAACATTCAAATCTTAAGTATCTTATTAACTTTTTGCATTTTAATACAGTCACAGCCAGACTACAGTATAAAACATTTCCAACACTCAGGAAAGCTCCCTAATGCCCCCTTATTCATTCCCTCTCCCAGGCAAGTACTTTTTTTTTTTACTTCTATCACTATAGATTAGTTTAGCCTGTTCTCGAACTTCATATAAATGGAATCATATCCTATAAGTACATGCCATTCTTAGAAATGTGAACTGAAAAAAATTATCAGAATCGAAAAGATATTTGATATCTTTTCATTTAAAAAAGAATAAGTTTAAAGTAAATTGCATTCATATTCCACATCAAAAAAAATCTTACTACCCAAATTTATGATAATACATAGTTGTATAAGATGCTTTCTCAAAGTAATCTAGAATGTAGGCAAGTACATAGAAATTAGTACTGGGTCCATGTCTGGATATATAAACAAAGTATTTAAATAGTAGCTTTAAGCAACATTGAGTAGGACTTACTCTAACCCTTGCAAAAACCTCATGGGGAAGATATATTATTTTTCTCATTTCACAGAGTGTTATCAGGCACTGAAATGCTAAGAAATTTACTCATCTGTTAATAAGGGTTAGAGCAGAGACTTAACCCAGGGACTGGACAGTTTATTGGACAAGGACACAAATGTAAAAGAATAACCACTGCATCTTGTGTATAACACCAAGAAACGTGCAACACGACACTCACTCATCAATAACAACCTGGTTACATACCAACAATGGACCACACTTACTGCGGTGATCTCTCTGTTGCCACTCTTGAATACTCTTTCCACAACTAAACTAGCATCCCAGATATTTCTGCAACAAAAAATGTTTTCATAATTATGCTGCAGATGAATAAAAATAATTACAATATGTAGTAAATTTCTTCTATGTGTTCATTAAAATGTCATGGTTTCAGTTAACATTGTACTAAGTTATCTGGAAGGAATGAAAACAGGAAAATTTAAAAAGCTGATATATCTAACTTATTTAACTAAGTCAAAAGGCTCTGGATAATGAGTTGTAAACAAGGAAGCTTATAATGCAAAAACAAATTTATAAAGGGGTTCTGCACTGTAACAAAAGCGTACATCTCAAATCTAAGAAAAATACATAGCAATTAACTAGATAATATGGTAGACTGATTGCAAAAGTGGCTGTTATTCTTGACCCCTCCCTATACCTATCCCCTTTTCAGTCTGACTTAAATGCTGCTCTCATAATGAGGGTCCATGCCCCACCTTTTGAATCTGGGTTTGCCTGGGTCGGCCAAGTAAATGACGTGGAAATGGTGGTCGGCCGGTGCTGAGCAGAGGCAGCACGAGGCTCTGCAAGTCTCTGCTCTCGTGGAACCTGGCTACCACCATGTGAAAATCCCTGGATGCCTGCTGGAGGATGAGAGGCACATGGAGAACAGCCCAGCTGCTCCAGCTGAGGCCACTCCAGACCAGCATACAAACATGACCGTAAGCATGTGAGATACTTCTTTCCAATGGGGAAAGAGCTCTCTTCAACCTCACGGCAGTTGCACAACCAAGAGTGAGCCTAGCCATGACCAGAACCGTCTAGCTGACTTGCAGGCACACGTCACAGAGTTATGGGGTTTGTTACGCTATGTAGAATATATATACATATATATGAACAAATATAGAAACATAGATGGTTAGATAATAAAAGAGTTGCATAATAGAGAACAATCTTATTAATGGACAAGTGAATTAAACTTTAGGTACAATAGGAATAAATGAAGTCCCAAATATAGAATTAAAAATATTCAATGACACAAACTGGGCTAAGATGAGCAGCTGTCAGGTATTCCATGAGAAACTTACCCCATGATTCGAGCAAAGTAAATGTATATGCCATTGTGCTTTCCGGAGTACACAACCTCTGGCCCAGCCATGTAGCTCATACTTGGGGCCTGAATGGCTGGGTTCCCTGAAGCTGGGGTAGACATGACAGGAGGGTGTACACCTTAACACACATAAGAAAAACAGACCTTAACATCGAACGATAAATATTCAGAATTCTCAACAACCCACGTCTGCTCTATCTACACCCATAAGAACGGGCATTTACAAAAATACTGGAATAAACAGATATTTGATTTCTCTTGACAAGAGGCTTTCCCATCTGGGCAATGCAGGATGGAAAGACAGACAGCTTGCCATCACTGCTCCTTAATGCTGGAAGTGAAACTAACTGTACAGATTTCATGGCTGGTAATTAAATCTTGGTACCCAAATAAGGGGCTTTCCAGGTACTATCGGGTACTGTTCAAGATTTCCTAAGTAAAGGCATTCGCAGCCAAATGCAATAGTTGTTTGGATGTCACTTCTTTTATTTTATTCATTTTAGAAAGACAGAAAGAGAAAGTGGGGTGGGGTGGGGTGGGGGTGGAGGGAAATTGATTTGTTGTTCCACTTCTTTATGCATTCACTGGTTCATTCTTGCATGTGCCCTGACCAGAGACAGAAACTGTAACCTTGGCATAATCAGGACGACACTCTAACAACTAAGCTACCCAGCCAGGATCTGCAGGTCACTTCTTGGAAGTCACATTATTTTGACAGAAAAGGGCATTAGTGATAAGACAGAACGCTAGACCTTCACAAAGAACAGTACTGGTAGTAGTGATCTAAAGAAAAGAGGCACCTTGAGCTGGTGTTCCCAAAAAGGAGGGGTTTGGATATTGACTACCACCAGGAAAAGGAGAACCTACAGGAAATAAGAAAATAATGATTTAGAAAGTAACTCCCCAATTTTTGAATTTGTTCAAAATTACACACAGAAGTTGTTTCTAAACTAAGAGTGAGGAGTGGCACCACTCATACTGTGCTCTAGAATTAGGGACTCGACTCATTTCCCAGTGATTTTGAACATCTCCACTTTGGAAAACATTGAGGTGGGAGTTTGCTTATTATTACATCATTCATTTCCTTCCTTTTCAATAAATAACAAATGAGTTTTGTAAACACTTTTGGTCACATCTTATTTTGTTCCCTAATATACATTAAGAACTCAATATACCATTACTTTTAAGAGTCAGATATCTTTATAACTATTCATCAATACAGTAGCAGCAAATAAAATATAATGAAAAGCTTTATTAAAAGTTCTACAATTCAGTCTATTGGAAACAGTTTCATTTCAGTGTTTCATACTCACTAGCATAGACAGGAGAGCCCAAGATGGGACCAACATTACTGGGGGTGGGGAGAGTGGCTGGAAATCTCATTTGCGCTTCACCGCCGTACCTGTCGATAACAACACAGACTGAGTTTATCCAGTGAAACAGTCCACCTTAAAGGCTGGAATTGTTCTAAGGCCTGCTTAGCTTTCAAAACAGAGCTTCAAACACTAGAGACTTTAATATACAGGTATTGTGTTTACAGTGAAATACAGGGTGGAGCAAAAGTAGGTTTACAGTTGTGAGTACAGAGTTTTTCTTGTATTACTTTTGCCCACCCTGTATATACATAGATACATTAAAAAATACTTATTTAGTAAAAGTTGACTTGAAATTCTATCAGGAAGTATTATAAGGGACTGGCAATTTCTAATAAAAGGTTAGCAGAACATAGAATTTACTTAATGAGATATGGTACTGTAATTTTCATACTAGATTATAGTTAGACAGACCTTTAAAAAAATTCTTTTAAACAAGTCACATTTCAAATTCTTATCCTTAGGTAAAAGTTTTCCAAATAAAAGTATCTGATACCAAGTTTCCTTAGAGTGATTCAAAATCTCAGTGCCAATAAGACCTATGTAGCAGAAGTGACTCAATGGGGAAACAGAAAAGAGAGATGAGATAGTAGCTGAGGTAGAAAGAGGTATAAAAGAAGACCAGACAGAAGAATGGGTAACAATGCATAAACTGCTAATTAATTAGCTGTTCCTATTAGCATTATAATCTTTCCAGAGTTCACCTTTGTGCAAACAAATTTTTGTAACTCAACTGTCTGGCAAGCCCTTAAACTATCACATTCACCAATAGCAACCATTTTAAAAAGTGGCCAAGAACAAGAGAAAACTGACATATACCTGAAGAAAGCCCGAGCAGCCCACGCTGATACTTCTCTATCACAGGCAGCGGTGGAACAAGCAAGGATAAGGCAAGTTGCACAAGCCTGGTCCTCCTGTTTAAAAAGAGTATCTTCCCTTATATTAAACATAACATGTAAGAAGTGTTGCTTCATGCTGTACCCCGTGTTCAAATCTGTGCCTAGTGTATAGCAGGTCTCAATAAATATTTGCTGACTTAATGAAATCAATTGATATGAAAAGGGGGAAATAAAAAAGTATTGGTTTTAAACTTAGAGTGTATTAGAACTGCTCCCAAATATCAGTACATATGTAGTGGTCAATGTAAAGAAAGAAAGATTGGTAAGATTACCTGTTAATTACAGTATTTTTGATCCTAACATATAAAAATTAGCTATCTTTCCATTATTTAAATTATCATCACAGTAAAAAAAAAAAAAAAAGAAAGTACAAATAATTACCTGATGTAATTTAAAGAATCTTTCAATCTCTTCTCCATCTCCACCCACATTACTCACAAGTAGATGCCTTAGTTGATCTACTGGTCTAAGTTTATGAAACATAAGACTCCCCTATGAAGTTAAAAAAAATAAAAAGAACATGAATACAGGTAATAAATTTACCAAGTTTGATAACAACGGACCCTGTTATCTTATTTAATAAAATCAAGGAAACAAACAAAAATACAATACAAAGTAAACTAGTCAAAAAGAGCATCTACATTTCAACTCCCAACCGAAGCTAAATCTGTATATCCATAATGAATTTAATAAGAAAACACTGCTCTGTCACACACACATCAGTACAGCACGTGCCATTACCATGCGGAAGGAAGCTGTCCTTTTGACTAGAAAGTTACAGTTAGATCACCCATTAGTCATGTTGGCACAAGCATGTTCATTTAAAAAAAAATTCATTTTTTTTCATTCATTTTCATTCATTCATTTTCATTTATGAAGCCGGATCCTTATTCATACCTTACACCGGGATAAATTCCAAGCAGATCAAAGATTTAAAGGACAAAATAAAAATATAACAGCATTAAAAGAAACTATGGGTGAATGCTTTTATGAACCTCAGAGTGGGAAGTTTTTTTCACTATCACATAAACCCTAAAAGATAACTTGAAAATTTCAACTACTTATAAATGTATCAAACTCCTTGATACACAAAGAGCTTTTATAAATTAAATAAAAAAGACAATTCAACAGAAAAGTACGTACAAAATAGAAAGATAGTTCACAGAAAAATAAGCTCTGAAAATGACAGTGGGTCTCACTCTTAAGATGGCATACTGTACTGGGACAGGATGCAGGGACACAGGCACTTAGCATTGTGTACGCACACAGGGAAGTCTGGCAACATCCATCCCAATTATAAATGCACATACCCTGTTGAATTTCTAGGATTTACAAACATTCCTGCCCTAGCCAGATTGGCTCAGTGGATAGAACGGTGGCCTGTGGTCCAAAGTGTCCCAGGTTCAATTCCGGTCAAGGGCACCTTGGTTGCAGGCTCCTCCCCAACCAGGGCCCTGGTCAGGGCTCATTCAGGAGGCAACCAATCGATGTGTTTCTCTCACATCGATGTTTCTCTCTGTCTTTCCCTCTCTCTTCCACTCTCCCTAAAAATCAATGAAAAAATATCCTCGGGTGAGGAGTAAAAAAAAAGAGTAAACATTCCCAAGCACTTAAGTAAATGACTACCAAGCAACTATTCCGAATATAAAAACATTAAATATGGCTTCCCTTCTTTTTGTCTTCACCTTAATAGAGTATGTACATACCTGTGCTGAGAGGAGAACAAATTTCTTTGGAGGCAACATGTGCTGCTGTACAACAACTGGTGAGTCAGTTATTGGAATATGATCCTTATTTAAAGGTGTAATTATTTTATCAACTTTCAATTCATCTATTGCAGAAAGAGCCCAGGAATGACCATCGACACGGGTCGTCATCTATATAAAAGAAACAAACTTTTAATACTAATAGTACTAAAGTTAATACTAAGGAAAACCTTTAAAAAGGAAAAGTTATACAGACCTAATCTGTAATTAAGTGTAGAATTTAATAAATACATTAACAAATATTCTCAAAAGTCTGTGTTAATTTTCTACTGTCTAATTATTTCAATCAGGCATCTTCTATAATACGAAAGGATAAAGGAAATTTTTCCTGGTAAACTATAAATAGTATTTACTAGAATTACAATTCTTTCCATAACCAAACACTAACTACCTTCCACCATCTTTCCAGGACCGACTGATCTATATGTAGATTCAGTGCTTACATTTTGCTGACATGTAGATTTCTACTCTCTTCAAAGCTAAGGTATTTCTTTAGAAAAAATGTTTTAATCTCCTAAAATATTTTTGTTTGTTTCTTTTCTCCTAAAATACTTTTATTATAAAAAATTTCAAGCATCCATATGCCCAGTACCTAGATTCAATAATTGTTAGAATTTTGCCATATCTGCTTTCTCTCTTTTATTAAACCACTTGAAAGTTATGGATATATCACTGCTAAATACTTTTGCATGCATCTCCTAAAAGTAAGGAAGTTTACTTATATATCCATGATACTATTATAACATTTAAGAATATTAACAATTCTCTGACCTAATGTCCAGCCAATATTGAATTTACCCATGGTTCCAATGCCTTTTAGAGCTGTTTTTGGGAGATTAGAATTTGGCTAAAGTTTATGAACTACATTTATATTTGTTTGTTTGTTTTTGTAACAAGTCCATACTTGTTTAAAAATCACTCAAGTATTATATAAACAAAAAAGATATAAAGTACTTGCTTAAAAAAAGTTAGCATTTGTTGAGTGCTTCCTATGTACCAGGCAGTGTTCTTAGTGCTACATACATGAATTCATTTAATCCCACAATAATCCCATAGAGTAGGAACTATAACTATTACAGACAAGGAAATTGAGGGCCAGAGACATGTTAAGTCCTTTGAGCCATAGCTTCGAGGAAATGGAGCCAGAATGCAAACCTGCAACCACTAACATTGCACTCCCATCAGGAAAGGGTTTATATCTTACTAAGTTCTGAATCCTTCATCTATCACAGGATGAAACACAGTAAAGTCCAAAGGATAAAGGAAAGAATTTGAGAAAGGTGCTCCTTGACCCCAAACCAACCTTCTGCTCCTACCCCGGCAACTTGGTCCAGGCCAGAAACTTGGAGAAGCCGTTACAAACCATGAACCCATCCTGGGGGTTGGGTTCTCCCTCCTCCCATCTACACACCTTTTCCCACTGCTCTGATCAAAGGGGCTTAAGCTGGAGGATAACCAGGAAGCAGTAGTGACAGCTGGAACCAAAATGCCCATATTCACACCCCAGTGGGAGTTGGTTTATCTGTTTGATCAGCACCCTCTGGGGCAGGCAACATGGACTGTGCCAGGGCATCTAGGAGGACAGATGGGGGTGGGATAGGGGACAGGAAGGGGAGGGAGCGGATGGCCTCCCCGGGCCACACCCCTGGCAGCACCAGCCTCCCCTTAGGTCCTCAGGGGCTGGGATGGCAGGCCAGACGCAGGACTGGGCAAGGACAGTGGGGTCACCTCCTCACTCAGAGCTTGGACATCGACCTCATGGAGTACGTGGTGGTATTTGCTTTTAAAACACAAGTGTGTGTGTGTGTGTGTGTGTGTGTGTGTGTGTGTGTGTGTGTGTACGTTTGGTTATGTAGGAAAGAGAGAAAACAAGATGGGGAAAACGTTGGTAATTTGCTAATGGGGGTTCAAGTTACCATTTTCTCTATTCTTGTGCACGTTTGCAAATTTCTATAATAAAATTTTTTTTTTAGTTTAGGAAGGACTCTAAATTAGATTAGTATAAATTCCTAAGTCATAACTATAATGGATGGCCTCATGTTAACTAAAAATACATTTAAATGGGGCAAAGATAATTCAGAAAAGATATATGCACTTTTGGGTTCACTATAAAAAATATTCTACAAGGGTTTCAAAGTTTACTTTAAAGATATTTTTAATGATTACTATGACTTCTAACTTCACAGAGAAAAAACAAAGAATTAACAGGATACATTTTTTTCCCATTATGATTTCTAATCATGAGATTGTTAGATGCAAACATTAATAAATCAAAAGGTAAAATTTCTTACAATTTTATTCTTCACTTAAAATTACATAAAAAGCTCTTTACAATTCTCAAGATAACTTACCTGGGTTTCCATCATTGGCTTTTGGAAAGGAAATGTATCATGGTTGACACACCACAAAATGTCATTATCTTCATTTTCTGAGGCTGCCATCAATAGAATTCCTAAAAGTTTAATACACAAAACCTTATGATACCAAATAATATGCATCCTAAATAATCTCTGCAATTAACATTAATATACATACATCATTAATCATTAAAGGTAAATAAGTTACAAAAATAAAAATAAATCCCTTAAAACAGTGGTTCTCAACCTTCCTAATGCCGCCACCCTTTAATACAGTTCCTCATGTTGTGGTGACCCCCAACCATAAAATTATTTTTGTTGCTACCTCATAACTGTAATTTTGCTACTGTTATGAATCGTAATGTAAATATCTGATATGCAGGATGTATTTTCATTGTTACAAATTGAACATAATTAAAGCATAGTGATTAATCACAAAAACATTATGTTTTTATATATGTATTTTCCGATGGTCTTAGGCGACCCCTGTGAAAGAGTCGTTCGACCCCCAAAGGGGTCGCGACCCACAGGTTGAGAACCACTGCCCTAAAAGAACTTATAATTATTGGTAGGATCATTAAATGTTCCAGATCTTCTACTTTACTTTTTTCAAGTAAACACTTACTTTTTTTCAGACTTTGACATTTTTAAAGTTAGAATATATTCTGCCATCAATGGATTTATCAGTTTAATTACCAATTTTAAAAACATAAATTCTGTGACTTACAATCAATCTAATATTCTATGAAATGCAGTTCATATACTGGTTAATTGAAACATATCAATAATAATAAAGATGAAGCTCCCAGTGGAACAGCAGAGATAAATATATTATAAAAGCATTACCTCAACACTAGCCGATGTCACAGTTTGATTTTTAAATATATTCTCTTGTGCTCAATTCCAGCTCCTCCCACTAATTTGCTCCCTTTATAGTGACCTTAGAGATATCAGTCTTTTTTTTTTTTAATATATTTTATTGATTTTCCACAGAGAGGAAGGGAGAGGGATAGAGAGAAACATCGATTAGCTGCCTCCTGCACACCTCCTACTGGGGATGTGCCCGCAACCAAGGTACATGCCCTTGACCAGAATCTAACCTGGGACCCTTCAGTCCGTAGGCTGACGCTCTATCACTGAGCCAAACCGGTTAGGGTGAGATATCAGTCTTAAGTTCATTGGATGGTGATAGTTAATGGGACCATAATTAATTAAAATGTATAACCAGTTTGTGAAAAACTGAGAGTAATTTAATTTAAAGTGGTAGAAAAAGATTTCTTAAAATTTAGTATACTTACCAACTGAAAATGCTTAAAATATAATGTTAACATTAAAAAAAGTTCCTGAATAAGAAATCAAAACATTCTAAATTTTATTGAAAAATCTTTATTTTCAAATGCTTCAGTGCATCCTAATTATAATAATTTTAAGCACCCAATCTTCAATATGGTAGTGTTTTAGAACTTACCTTTACTATAGAGAGCTTTATGTACTTTTGAAGGCTTTTCCACTGTGGAAGATGCTGAGAACCCAGGAGGTAAGCGGACATGAACCAGTGTCAATGTATTAGGTCGTGCTAATGGCTGTCTGAATGGGCAGGTGCTGAAATATAACCTTACACCTGATGATGGGTAAAATTATATATCAGTAACAGAAAATAAAAGGTACATATGTATTGTTATTAACACAATTCCAAAGAGAAACAGAGAACTCTGTTAAAGCCACACATCACTTTCCCGGCTGATCTTAAGTTACCAGGGTACTACAGGAGAAGTGGATTTCCATGACAGTATCACTTGACATTGAGAGGTGGATCAACAAATCTCAGCAGGAAGAGCCTGCCACTCTAAGTGGTGAGCCTCAGGCTCCGTCCCTGACTGTTGGCCACCTTAGCTTCCAGCTGGTTTTACATCTATAAAATGAGCAAACAGAACCGAGGAGTCCTCCAATTTTCCAAATCCTTAATTTTATAAATCATTAATATGGCTTTATAGTTGATACAGAAGTAAAAATTTCTCTCATATTTCTAATCATAGATTTCCAATTCTGAGGATTATTAAGTTACAAAAGCAATAACAAACATATAAATAAAAACTTACCGGCATGTGTGACAGCCAATAACTGACAGTCCAATGACTCAGAGTTTTCAATCACTGCTATTTGAACAATTGGTTTAAAAACAGAACGATCTATAGTCCTACAAGAAAGAAAAAAAACCACACTAGTGTATTTTTAAAATGTGTCTACCAAATTATAAGGAACATTTTCCACCAGCAATTTTACAAGTCAAAATATACAGGAAAGTAACACAACAGCAGCAAGAACTGGCAAAGCCCTTGAATGTGTGTTGTTTACATTAGTTAATATTGTTAAGAGTAACCTTTTTTCAAAGACATAAAAGAAGGCTAATGGGGAGCAAGATGTTCTCAGAGCATCAAATTAGCATTGTAAAAGTTACCGCTAATTAAAAAGGGGAAAAAATGAACCTTTATAATGAACTCTTCAATAATGGTAAACTGGTGTTATGCCTCCTGATGTAATGCTATAAGAAATTCACATTACCTATGTAATACTAGCTGCTAAAGAAAAATTACCTTTAATCTAGGATGGAAAAAAAGACAAATTCAGAAAACTCCTGCCTCTCCCTCCCAAATGTGAACATTTTGAAAAAACTGTAACGGAAGTTCTTTCCTCTATTAAAAAGATTAATGACCGATTTGATTCATGAGCTCTGACTGAACCTGGAGAAAAATGGGAAGAAAAATAGCTATAAAGAGTTTTGGGAATCAGTGAGTAATTTTAATATGAACTATCTATCTATATAAAAGGCTAAGCGACCGGCTGACTGGCCAACAGCTATGATACACACTGACCGGGGGCAGACGCTCAACAGAGGAGCTGCTGAGGGACAGCAACTTTGCAGAGTGTCTTCTCGCACTCTGGGACCCTTCGGGGGATGTCAGAGAGACGGTTTCGGCCTGATCCCCGCAGGCCAGGCCGAGGGACCCCACCTGCCGGAGGGACCTCCTCACTCCACAGACGCCCTTCAAGCCCCAGCACCGCCCAGGTGTGGCCGACCGGGGAGGGACCACGGGAGGCTGGCTCCAAGGCATATCCAGCCCATCTCGCCCAGTCCTGCCCGCCCGGCCACCTTCTAATTACTTTTTTTTTTTTAAGTATATTTTATTGATTTTTTACAGAGAGGAAGGGAGAGGGATAGAGAGTTAGAAACATCGATGAGAGAGAAACATCGATCAGCTGCCTCCTGCACCCCTCCTACTGTGGATGTGCCCACAACCCAGGTACATGCCCTTGACCGGAATCGAACCTGGGACCTTTCAGTCCACAGGTCGACGCTCTATCCACTGAGCCAAACCGGTTAGCCTAATTACTTTTAATGTGCACAAATCTGTGCACCAGGCCTCTAGTATAATTATATATTATTATTTTTAGGTGTGGAATTGATACTGTAGCTAGGAGATGGAAGATGAAGGATTTAAAGATAAAAGTAATGATTTCTGCAACTGACTTTTCAAATGGCTCATAGAGTGAGCAACTGAGGCAAACTGTTAATTGGTGAATTTAGATCCAGGGTATACCAGTTTTATGTCCTTCAACATTCCTATTTTAGAGATACTTTGAGAAGAAATTTTAGTATGCTGCACATAAATAGTGTAATTGTGCCTGCAAATGAAATGTCTGACAAGAAGTTACATATCACCTCGCAATGTTTCCAGCAGCAGAGACTATAGAATTCTGTGACACTGAAGCAACTCTGCTCATTCCTTGTCCATCGCTGCCCAAATCATAAACCTGTAAACAAAAATTGTACCCATGACTATAACCTGTATACATTTTATTTAATTTGTTTTCACTTTTTAATGCTTTATTCATTAATTTAAAAAAGTATACTTTTAGCCCAGCCAGCGTGGCATAGTGGTTGAGCGTCAACCTCTGAACCAGGAGGTCACAGTTCGATTCCTGGTAGAGGCACATGCCTGGGTTGCGGGCTCAATCTCAATCCCCAGAAAGGAGTGTGCAGGAGGCAGTCGATCGACGATGTTTCTCTCTTTTTGATGTTTCTATCTCTCTATCCCTCTCCCTTCCTCTCTCTCAAAAAATCAGCAAAACAAATTACAAAAAATATATATACTTTTAACACACACCATATAGCATCAGTCACCGGGTCAAGCATTCAGCTGGTTTCCTTAGTTTCTGCCAGGAGTTATTTTTTTTTTTGAAAAAATATATTTATTGATTTCAGAGAGGAAGGGAGAGGGAGAGAGATAGAAACACCAATGATGAGAGAGAATCATTGATCGGCTGCCTCCTGCACACCCCCTACTGGGGATCGAGCCCGCAACCCAGGCATGTGCCCTTGGCCGGAATCAAACCTGGGACCCTTCAGTCTGCAGGCTGACGCTCTATCCACTGAGCCAAGCCGGCTAGGGCCTGCCAGGAGTTATTTTATCTGATCACATTTATAAGAAAGAATCTCACCCCATTTGGCATTTATACACACTGTGCCAGTGAGTTCACACTACTGATGTACATGTAAAATCCACATGGTATGTGCCCACTGGAGACAAAACAGTGCGCACCTGTCAAAAGGTCATCTTAATAGAAGAGGGTAAAACCTTTTGTAAAACACACATAAACTTTTTCCATAAGTAGAATCCTATCTGGTCATCTGTTGCATAAATTATTTCCAAAGCTTACGACAGATCAGCCAGGCCTCAGCACCGCTGAGCACCCATGTTGGCTACTTTATTATTGCAGACTGTCCTTCCACATTAAATGCACAACGTTCCTACCACTTAAAACTGAGTTAGGTGGAAGTCTCAGACTTCTGTACTGCGCTTGTCCTGAAACAGTTAAATCGGCTTTTAAAGCCTCTCAGATATGTTTTAAAACATATTTCATGGAATGTTCTTCATGTATCATAGCAGCTCATACCTGTGATAGAACAAGCTTTCAGTTTTTCCTTTCTTCTACATTCACTATTCACAGACAAAACAGGCGCCATGTTTTTCTTTTTTGTGTGTTTTGTTTTTCAGGCTTCTGAGGTTGCTGACTGAGCCACAGCACAGCTGTGTACTACAGGTTGAAATTTGACATTAAATATTACAAATCTAGCAGAATCTGGCTGGCCCCTGCCAGTGTGTGGGCACTTCTTAGGTTAAATCTATTCTTTGGCAATTGGCATGCGCACTGACAGAAAAATTCAGTGACTTGTTGCTAGAGATATTACGACTAATGTTTGTTTGCAAGCATGTATGTTTACAATTCTCTCTTTTTATTTTCTTTTAGGTTTTACCCTGGAATATAGTTTCTTTCTTCCTCCAATATTTGAAATCTGGGCTTAAAATCTAACTTGAATGTGTAATATAATTGATAAAAAAAAAGTCATGTCACATATAGTTTCTAAAAATCCAACAATTTGAGTATTTATTCATGTAAATGCATTTTAAAAATGGTTAACAAGGTTCTAGCCTAGTACTATACAAAATTCAGAATGGTAATTGGTGAAATCAATTTTTAAAATTTGTACTGTTGACACTATAGCAGATGTCCCAGACTCCCCCCACTTTGGACTCCCTCCACCCAGCCCCTGCTGCCCTCTGTCCATCACCACACTGTTGTCTGTGCCCAGGTGTTATGCATAAATGTTCTTTGGCTAATCCCTTCGTCTTCTTTCATCTAGTCCCACCACTCCCTGCCCCTCTGACAGCTGTACCCATGCCTCTGTTTCTATTTTGTATGTCAGTTGTTGTTTTTTTACAACTTTATTAAATAGACTTTTCCCTTTTGGGGATCCTTTAACTTTGGCACTTCATATAGGTTTGGAAACATTCACAGATTTGAAATTTCATTAAAAAGTGGTCTGGATTTTTTTTTTTTTTAAATCACACAGTTCATAGGAAAAGTGTAAAGAGCGACTAAATCATCTTCTTTAAAAACAGGGATGCTAGGCCCTGGCCGGGTAGTTCAGTTGGTTAGAGCGCCGTCCTGATACACCAAGGTTGCTGGCTGCATCTCCAGCAGGGCACATATAAGAAGCAACCAATGAATGCATAAATAAGTGGAACAACAAATCAATGTTTCTCTCTCTCTCTCTCTAAATTAATAAACAAAACAAAAAAAGGAGGCTTATTCCCACCTTAAATGGTAGTATAATATTAACATTTACCTGTATTACTCCTTTCTCAGATCGTGTGTATAAAATGTTTCTAGAATTATCAATTTCAATTTGAACAATAGGATCTGAAAGACACACAAAAAAACCCCTCAAAGATTAACAAATCAAATACAGTAAGTAGCCACTTAAATTAAAATTGTCAAATTAGAACTTTGCATTCAGAGGCTTTCCTCTTGCTTTGTAAAAGCAGACGTCAAATACTGTGACTGGGTTAAGAGCATGAAAAATAAGTTGTTCTATCTAAATAAATGTTAAACCAAACCCAAAACAAGTTCTATGTTATTTCTTCATTTAACTAACATTCAGTGAGTGTTTGCTATATGCTAGGAACACATGAAACAACTGTTCCTCAGTCCATTCCATCAAGAAACTGCCAGTTTAGTTTAATGATTCACTGTGTGAAGGGCAATAATTTATTTTAGTCATAAAAACTTTTTACCTTATTTCAATGAAGCACTTTAAAATTATTTCACTGGCCTCTCTTTTTATTAAAAACTCATATATATTCATTTTGTGCCAGAACTTGTTCTAAAACAGGCAAAACATATTAGATGTATGACTGTCTAGCTCTCACACAAACACCCACATGCTTTGCTTTTAACAGCTTATGTACAACTGTTTTAGAGCCTGTTCTGTGATGCTACATTATAGGAACTTGGGAATACACCCACACTGTTTCCACGTTTTACAATCCCCTCTTCCTTTAGGAGACCTTGTGAAGCCTGGGCCAGTGGCCCAGTTGGTAGGAGCATCGTCCCCTACGCCAAATGTTACGGGTTCGATTACTGGTCAGGGCATATACATAGGTTTCGAGTTTAATACCCAGTCGATTCCTGGTTGGGGTGCATACGGGAGGTAACTGATTGATGTTTCTCTCTTTCTCTCTCTCTCTCTCTCTTTCCCCCTCCCCTTCCTCTCCCTCCTAACATCAATAAAAACAGATTCTCAGGTGAAGATTTAAAAAAAAAAGAGATTTTTATGGATATTTAACAAATGTATTTAGTAAGACAAAATTTCAATTAAGAATGAGAATTTCTCAAGAAATGTTAAGTCACTGATCTGCTAAAAATTTTTGACAAGTTTATTTGTTTTCTACTTACCATCTTCTGAGAATGTGAATTGTAGCAATGAAGGAACAAGAAAAGAAAGTGAGCTCTTTGAGTGGTTGATTTTCCTACATCTTTGGCTAAACCAACCTGCTTCTGCCTTAAAAGAAAAAATTGAGAGAAGACTTGTAAATGAGGATACCTCCGTCATAGCAACTATTGCATACCCACGTTTACAAAAAACCTCAGATCTTAGTGAAATACCAATAATTGTAAATGAAGACACACTACTCAAAAGTAGCACTGAGTTTAGTCCTGTAATTAGAAATAGGACATGTAGTTAGCTATAACTAAATTACTGCCCTCAATGAAATCTGTCTATTCCAGAAACCTCAATAGTGCTATGCTAGTGAACTCACATTTTAATTCTCTTAAAAACTATCTGAAAGTATAAGGAAATAATAAGCAGAGTTTCTAAGTGCCCGAAGACATAGGGTCGATATCATCGTATCCCACTTCTGCTAAAAGGAAATTTTAACAAGAGCAGCCACCACCATCATAATCTATAATCTACTTTTCAATGGTTGAGTTTTGCCATACAAAACCATTTCCTGGTAATGAACAAAGCTAAGAGAAACTGGGCAAGAAAGTGGTATAATGTAATATTAAAAACACACCTGACCTGGGTTCTAACCCTAGTTCTGCCACTAATTAGATTGAAAATATTACTTTATCAGTTTTCTAAGGTTTACCTTATGCAAAAGGCAACAGGAGGGAGAAGATGAACGAGAAAAGGACACAAAAAGGCATTTCAGAATAGAAAAAACATAAATGACCAATAAATACATGAAAAGATTTGATAATCTCATTCATAAAAAGAATAATTTCCCTCCATTAGATTGGCCAAAATTGTTGGACAATACCAGTGTCAGTGAGAATGGGTATAGGTGGAATACATTCACAGAAGTCTGCTAAGAGTCTAAAACTTTTATAGGGCAATATGAAAATATTAAATACAATTTTAAATGCAAATACATCATAATCCAACTACTAGAATTCTAAGATTCTACACACAAAAATCTACTTGTGCACAAGGAGGCCTACAAAAGAACACTTACTGTCACTTTATTTGTGAAAAGAAAAGCGGAAAATCTAGAAATCCATCATGGAAGCAATTGTTAAGTAAACCATGTATAACCGCTTCATGGATAACTATGCAGCAATCACCAACCATAACATGTACCTATCCACCAGACACCAACAAGACTTTCAAGACACAGTGAAGTGAAAAGCCAATTATATAACAAAACAATAATTCAAGTAAAAACATATACACACTAAAATACACTATGTATTTTTATATGTGTATATACACATGAACACATATATAGACATTTATAGATACTTATCAATGAATGTATCATGTTCTAAACAGGCATACTCAGAAATGATCATCATGGCTTTTACCTCTGGAAAGAGGACTGGGTTTTGTAGGTATGGTGTAGTCATGCAAGACTATGGCTTTAACTGTGTGGTTGAATACTTTCTACAAGAATAGATTAACGTTCTTATATAATTACAAATTAAAAACAAAATCCACCCCTACTTCATCAAAAGGGAGAAAAAAATGTTTATAAACGCCAGACTGACCTGGTATGCTACTTCATATAAACAGCCATCCTTTCCAGCCAAGAAAATTCTGCCATTATCAGTGGAAGTTATTGTTAAAAGGTAAGTATTATCAGTGGGAAGAGAATACAAAGGATCTGGAAGCAACTGCATTCCACCACACATACTGTCATTAAGAACTCCAGGACCTATTTTGTTTTAAAAGAAAAAATACAGGAATCACTTTATCCACTTTTTAGCTGTTTGAAAATAGTCACTGAATTATCTTTAGAACTGAAATATTTACTGCATTCTTACTGATATACTTAAAATCTTCTATGACATACATTTTTAAATTACTATAAAAAGTCCGATATAATGATTCAAGTGAAATAGAACCTATAGCATATAGGTTCTATATACATATAATTATAATACATAGCATTATAACATATCAATAAAAAAACTAAGCCAATTATTACATTTTGGAAAAGAGTCTAAGAATGTGGCAGTAATAATAATTTGAGTCACTGATTCAACATTGTTTCACCCAAAACAATGAAAAAGAAACCACTGAATGAACCTGTAATAAATTGAGAGCTTCTTACCTCAAGGTAAAGAATAATGCATTATATTTCAGTGTTTCATGTTAAAATGGCCATTCAATGAATCAGAAATAAAGACATTGAAGGCATTATTGAAAATCTCACTAGCATAGCCTATTCTTCTTCTACTGCCCTCCGTTTATATTGTATATTTAAAATGTGCACATTAATATGGTAAATACATCCAAAATACTTTGTGGAGCTACTATCCTGAAATAAGCCATATTTATAGAGAAATATGATTTTTCTGTTAGCAAATAGCACAGAAAGTTAAATTATTGAATTGGTTTTTAATTATAACATTAAATTCACCAACATATTTTTATTTTAAAAAACACAGTATGTGGGTTGCTATACCTGTTTGCAAATTAGCATAGCTGAGTCCAAGAATCACTATATCCACAGGGGTTGCCAAAACCAGGAGGTGTCGTATATGAGGTTGAAAGATGCCTAAGATAAAGTAGACATGGGTTTGGGATTATTTTCCCCACCAAAATCCAGTATTGAAGCATTTATAGAATAAGGTTTTGCCATTACAATGAGCTAGTTATTAAATAGTATATGAAAAGTCTGAACCCACTTTAGTTCACTTTGTTGTTAAAATATTATTACCTATGACCACTTAAAAAAGTAAATAGGAAAAAGAACCACTTTAGGAAATAAACACTTCAGTATTTAATGCCATTTAAAACCAGTGTTATGTTACAAAATAGTTTAGATTTACTAATATATAAATATTTCTATTTGTATGTCCACATTTATAGCAGCATAATTCACAGCACCCAAAAGGTGGAATCCACCCAAGTGTCCAACAACAGATGAAATGATAAACAAAACGTGGTATATACATACAATGGAGTAGTAGTCTGCCTTTTAATAAAGGAAATTCTGGCCCTAACCAGTTTGGCTCAGTGGATAGAGCGTCGGCCTGCAGACTGAAAGGTCCCAGGTTCGATTCAGGTCAAGGGCATGTACTTTGGTTGTGGGCACATCCCCAGTAGGAGGTGTGCAGGAGGCAGCTGATCGATGTTTCTCTCTCATAGATGTTTCTAACTCTCTATCCTTCTCCTTCTCCCTTCCTCTCTGTAAAAAATCAATAAAATTTTTTTTTTTTTAAAAAGGAAATTCTGGCTACAACAGGGATAAACCTTGAAGGCATCATGCAAAGTGAAATAAACCAGTGGCAAAATGATAAATAGTATATAATTCCACTTGTATCAGGTACCTGGAGTAGTCAAATTCATAGAAACAGAAATGAGCTTATATGTCAATGGGTTTCCCAAGTGAGATTATATATCAAAACCAGATAATTTACAGTATCACAGAGGACATTCCTAAGTACAATTTTTTTTGGTTAATGCTTGCTAAGGTATTGTTTAACTTGAGAAGTGTGGCATGGCATGAGATGCTATGCATAAGTGTCACTGTAATTGTGTTATGATGTCCAAAAATAATGTCCCACTGATAGGAATAAAATGAATATCTTACGTTATGATTATGGGCGACTCTTTATACATATGCGCTTAGCCTACCTAAGGGGGTTAAATGTCATATAAAATACAATAAAGCTAATTTCATGACTTGGTTTTACTTTCACTAATGAATATCAAGGGGCTTAAAAGCCAGTTTTGTGTATCAAGATTCAAGACCATGAAGCTGAAGGCACAGAAGTCCTACGTTCTACTTTAATGACCTCAAAGTTAATGACTTTAACATATGTTTGAGAGTCAGAATTTTCAGGATTTATTGACAGCAAAGTCAGAATTGTTTAATTATCAAAGATGACACCTTTGCTGCCAAATCAAAGACTACATCATAATTTCAATTTTGCGATGAAATTTGTATTTAAGTAAAACAAAATTTTACTATTTATTTTAGATGGACAATTGATATTTATTAAATATGGGGCAGGAACAGCTATTGACATTTATATTAATAATTTTTAAATGCAGAGATACACATATCGGGGTAAAGAATGCTTTTGAATTCTATGTAAAAAAAATACATTTCCAAAGTAATCATCTAAAAATTGCATAAAACTGCATTTGTTCTTAGGTGAATTATTATAATCTCAAAACTTCTGTGACCTTAGAACAGTTTTATTTAGGCCTTGCAAACAAGTTAATTTTGTCTACTATTCCTTTTGTAGGAAGGTGCATTCAAGAGATGCATGTTAAATTTCAATCAATCAATTCTGCTTGGCAATAGCTCTGATAAAAGATCTGCCATAATGAGATTATAAGTTAAACAATGCTTGTGACTTATCTAAGATTTATTCTGAACTCTGTTCTTACTTTTCTGGGCTACCAATACTAGAGAAATGCAGAGACAAAAATGGTTTTTATAGTAAGTAATGAAAAATGTACAATGCAAAAAACTTTAGGTAAATCAAGAGTAACAAATGGTAAACAAGGTCAAATTCAAGAACTATAATTTAATAATTTTAGAGGCAGACTCATTTATGCTATCATAAAGTAAGTAAACCGTTAACTAATCCTAATTACTTTATTTCTAACTAGAGGCCCAGTGCCTGAAATTCATGCACAGGTAGGGTTTCTAGCAGCTACCAGCTGGGGCCTCCCTTTCCCGGCTGCTGTCCGGGGCCTTCCTTCATGCCGCGCCACCCCCTGGTGGTCTGCACACATCATAGCAAGTGATGAAACTCCCGAGGGGACACTTTGCATATTAGGCTTTTATATATATAGAAGATAGATAGATAAGAATTTGGAAAAAATTTCAATAGGAAATTCACCGACTTAAAATGTGTTGTCACTTAATCCTAAAGTATTTGAAGTCTGTGTGTATACAAACATAACTTTAATCCTTGTTCTTTATTTCTTACCAGCTTTTGGTTTCACAAGCCCCACAGCAAGAATAGTTTCACTAAGTCCATCAAAATAGGCAAGGTCTCCTCTGTCAATAGTTGAAGAAAAACATGTTATACAGAACATAATGGAAAATAAATGAGCAAACAAACTGTTTCAGTTCCAAGACCCAGGCACAGAGGCCTGCCTAAGGCTACACAGAAACCAGGAAAACAGGAATGGATTTCCCCATTCCAAAACAATCCACCCAAGTTGTAGGTCTCTAACAGCCATCTACTGTAGGGATGGAGATAAGAGTGTAGAGAGGACCAAAAAGCCATGAGTGAGATCACTAGATCAACAAACTTTACACAAAAATTCCTTGGGCCTTCACTCAGATTCTATTACATACATTTAATTTACACACAGGTCAAGCAGAGAATCATAAAAGTCATTTCTATAAATCAAAAGTCTCCCATTCTGTAGAAATGCAAGGAAAACAGAAGTCTTTAAAAATGTCAAACCATCTTTCAAAGAAGTATTGATAGACCATCTTTATTGCAGGATAAAGAGCTTGGGACCTAGACCCCTGCCACTCAGAGTGGCACCTACACGGACAACCAGAGCTTGTTACAAATGAACTCTTAACCTCATCCAGAACTGCTCCAGCAGTCCCTACTTTAACCCTACCCCAAGGTGGTGGGGCGCACACTGAGGAGCACTGACCCAGATGTTAGATGAATGAAACATCCATCAGGAAAGGTCAAATAAGAACACGAAGTGCAATAAGATCATCTAAATTCTAATCATGCTAACGCATGCCAGCCTTAAATACATACCCATCTTCATAGTTCCACATGAATATGTCACTGTCAATTGTGAGCCAAGCTCTGCTGATAGGAGGAAACACACCCATCATGCAGTTACACTGCATATCTGAGTTGTGTGGATGTAAGGTAAAAATATTTCCATCTCATATATTTCTATTTTAAACTTGTTTCAAAAGACTTTGATATAAAATGTATGATTGCCTGGCCAGTGTGGCACAGTGGTTGAATGTCGACCCTTGAACCAGAAGGTCACTGTTCAATTCCTAGTCAGGGCACAGGCTGTGGTTGTAGACTCAATCCCAGTCGGGGGCGTGCAGGAGGCAGCCAATCAATGACTGCCTCTCATCACTGATGTTTCTATCTCTCTCCCTCTCCCCTCCTCTCTCTGAAATCCATAAAAACATATTTTTTTTAAAATTAAAATCTTAAACAAAATTTATGATTAAAAAATCATGACCTGTCCACTCTTCGATAGAATGAAATACCTTGATTTCCAATGAGTTTAATGAAAGCCATAGTATAGGACAGAAATACTTATAATTTATCATTTCTAAATAATGCTATTTGACCACATCCTCTCTCTCTAAAAATCAATAAAACATCTTTAAAAAGTTTTTTTAAGCATTAAATACAAAGTAATAGGATACGTCCAAACTGTTCAACAAGTTCAGGTGGGAGAGGAACTCTTCGGATGGAGCTGATCTCTGGAAGGTTGGGTACCGACAGCAAACCAGGTCCTTGTAGAGGATAATCCATATCGGACATGCCAGAAACAGTGGGACTATCTGAAGAAATAAACAAATGCAGCATTCACTTAACATTACTCATGTCTGGGCATCAAGTGGGCATACAAAAGCACTGCAAGCTACAACAAAATTGTGCTTCTGGTGGTTCTGAAAGTATAGAGAGTATAAAGTAATTATAACCTGATGCAAAGGAGACCTGAGAAATTTCAATGTTGAGGTGGGGGCACCAAACAAGGCTATCTTTCCCGGGTACTCCATAAACAAGAAAATGGTTGGTTCAATATTTTAGTGTTTTTCTATTATTAATTAATCTAAAATGGGATATATAAAAAACTGCTTTGTGATTCTTAGCTCTAACAATTGTGGGCAAATAAAATATTGATTGGGAGAAAAAATAGCTACTTCCTTTCTCACTTAAACATTTATGGATTAAAATAATCCACGCCCTTTCCACTAGATTTCCCCCCTAGACCAGTGGTTGGCAAACTCATTAGTCAACAGAGCCAAATATCAACAGTACAACGATTGAAATTTCTTTTGAGAGCCACATTTTTTAAACTTAAACTATATAGGTAGGTACATTGTTATTAACTTAATTAGGGTACTCCTAAGCTGGCCTTTGCTAAAAACGTCCTCAATCTGATTGAGGTATGTTCGCTGAGGTCGACCCCTTCCAACTCTCCCATCCACACTCTTCTTGTATACTTGTTTCGTCTATCTCCTTTCCGAAAACCGACTTCTGCGCATGGGCCACGAAGATTCAATCGTACTGTACGTGCGCACCCACACGTGGTATTTTGTGGAAGAGCCACACTCAAGGAGCCAAAGAGCCGCATGTGGCTCGCGAGCCGCAGTTTGCCGACCACTGCCCTAGACCAACAAGATAAATACAAACAATACGACAGAAACAATATTTTACTGAGGCAAAACCCACAGACTGCTCCACAAAGGGTTCTCCCTGCAACATGTCTCTTACTCTAGGAGCCAGACACTGAGGAGCAGGTTGGTCCCTTCAGCCTGTATTTCCTAGTCCTGAACAAAGCGTTTAAAATCTGATGACCATTTCGCTCAGGCACCCTTTCAGGCTCTCTAAAGTACAAAGATGTTGGGGAAACTCACATGTGAGACAATTTTAAAATGTATTTAGAAATGTTAAAAATATATGCAACTAGAGAGAAAAATGCAATCAATTCCTATGTGCTAATTACCTAGCTTCAACGATTACCAATATCATGCCCGATCACATTTCATTTACATCACTGTCTGCTCCTTCCCGAACGCATCTTCTGAAGCAAATCCTAGACATCCCAATTAGTCTAAAAACCGATTTTAATAGAACATGGCACCTGTTAAATGGCAGTGGAGACGCAAAGAACAGAATTAATAACTCTGGTGAAGATGTAAATGGTTAAGAAAGCCTTCGCAAAGAAGGATATATTTTTTAAAGACATATATTTTTATTGCTTTCAGAGAGGAACGGAGAGGGAGAGAGAAACATCAATGATGAGAATCATCCACTGGCAGCCGGCTGCCTCCTGCACGCCCCCTACTGGGGATCATGCGCAGCAACCTGGACAGGAGCCCTGACAGGAAAGCAAACTGTGACCTCCTGGTTCATAGGGGGTGAGGCTCAACCACCCAGCTCGCTGGGTCAGGCAAGAAACTGATATTTAAGGGAGTCTGCAAGAACTGTTTGCCAAAGAGGGAAGGGCATTCCGGAAATGATGAAGAGTGCATGCAAAATAAAATGCCAAAGAAGGGGCTTCTTGTGGAAAACGGGTTGAATTCAGTGTGGCTGGAACCCTGTGGTTGAGAACAGAATGGAAGAAGGGGAAGAGATGAGATGGAAGAGGCAGGTGTGTGTATAGGAGAAGAGGGAAGATGAGGCTCAGATATGATGAAAGGCCAGAATGTATGGACTATTCATATCTTGCCTTCAAACACCTAAGGAGGTCAAGGTGCATCATGCTGTGCAACGGGTTGAATTCAGTGTGGCTGGAACCCTGTGGTTGAGAACAGAATGGAAGAAGGGGAAGAGATGAGATGGAAGAGGCAGGTGTGTGTATAGGAGAAGAGGGAAGATGAGGCTCAGATATGATGAAAGGCCAGAATGTATGGACTATTCATATCTTGCCTTCAAACACCTAAGGAGGTCAAGGTGCGTCATGCTGTGCAGAAGGAGAGTTGCTAATAGGCCACTCAGCTCTTACAGGACAGGCCCACTGGTAAGTAACTGTCAGGAACAAATATTACCGTTGCTATGTTTTTTTTTGTCTTTTCTCTGATTACAAGTCTAACTCAATGAACACATCGTATAAATCGCCAGAGGTGTCCTTTAGGTTTACACTGCACAGATTATCCTGTTTATCTTGGTTCTGGCTCACCAACAATCTTGTCTCTATCTTACTTACACTTCTCTGCTTTTCCCTCATTTCCACCTCACCAAGGAGCCACTTTTTTTTTTGTTCTAGCCATTTATGTAACTCCACATGCCTGGAGGAGCCATGATGTAACCGTTAAACATTTTCCCAGCCCCTTTCCTTACGGGCACATGCTCCCCCTTAGCCTCCCTGCCCATCATCTTGGTTGATTTCTCTGCCTTCATTCCACCGGCAGCTTTTACCACCTCCCGGCACTTCCTATGACACTAACTCTACACACGGTAGAGCATGTCTCTGAGGGGACATGACCCGCGTCCAAATGAACTTGGTTTGCTCTCCCGTTTCACTCTAATAGTGACACGAGTGATGAACAAGGCCGAGCCTCGGACCTGGCGCTCCCGCCCACCCCGCCTGGGGGAGAAGCACGAGGAGGCAGGAGCGGCCGGTGAAGGTGGGGGTCTCTGCCTCCGCGCGTTTGCTCCCCACTCCTACCCTCTCCGATGTGTGCAGTGAAGAAGGCGAGGCTGGGGGGTGGGGGTGGAGGGACTGCCCATGGGCGCTTTCTCGCTCTTGGATGTGCAGCACACGGCGCCCGGGGGGTAAGGACCCGGGGAGGGGGACCGGCGAGAGTCGCCCGAGGCGCCGATCACTCACTCGGGGCGGACACCAGGAGCAGGTCGGAGAGGTCCGGGTACATGCGGTCATCCTGCAACTGGCGGTCGATGAACCGCCCCGCGCTTTCCAGCGCCTCCTGCGAGGCCGTGGCCGACGTGGAGGCCGGCATCGCCGAGCCCAGCAGGGAGGACGGCAT